AATTACTCTTATCATGGAATTATTGTGTGTGTTTTCTGTGATGAGGATCTACTTTACCCAAAACGATAGAATTATTTTATCATGGAAGTATTGTGTGTTTTCTTGTGATGAGGATCTACTTTTCCAAAACGATAGAATTATTTTATCATGGAAGTATTGTGTGTGTTTTCTTGTGATGAGGATCTACTTTTCCAAAACGATAGAATTATTTTATCGTGGAATTATTGTGTGTGTTTTCTTGTGATGAGGATCTACTTTCCCAAAACGATAGAATTATTTTATCATGGAAGTATTGTGTGTATTTTCTTGTGATGAGGATCTACTTTTCCAAAACGATAGGATTATCTTATCATGGAGTTATTGTGTGTGTTTTCTTGTGATGAGGATCTACTTTTCCAAGACAATAGAATTATCTTATCATGGGTTTTTGTTTTGTTTTTTTCTTGTGATGAGGATCTACTTTCCCAAAACGATAGAATTATCTTATCATGTAGTTATTTTGTTTTTTCTTGTGATGAGGATCTACTTTCCGAAAGCGATACCGTTAACGAGTTTCTTACTTTATTTTTTCATAAAGTCACTAAACTCCATATTTACGTGGTAAATGAGTAATTCAGTGAGTTAACAGAAAAGCCATATTCTGTATTGTTAGAGTTCATTACAATTAGAAAGAAACAATGTCATTAGAAACAAAAATACGAAATTTGAGTGAGTGTTAAACTCTTTCAACTTAATAAATTTTGTTTGCAAGGCTATGAATATTTTCTATACAAATACATTACCAATTAAAAATACGATATTTATATTTAAAATAACAGTTCATCTTTATGTAAAGTTGTTGCAAGATAGTCAAGTCTAGAATTCGTTGTTATTATTTATAGAATTGCATAGGTAACGAAAAAAATTCAAAATATAATATAAAGGGAAGTCTTCCATTGCAGATAGTTAGAAACATCGTTTTATCGCCATCTCTTCCTAAGCATATGAACTAAAATATTTTATTCAATACTAAAATGTTTTTATTATCGTGCAATACGTTATCACACCTCATGAAACAATGTTGGCATTTGATAGTTTATACACATTGACAGGTATCCTACTGTACAACTGAGATTTAATTTAAAAAACAACAGGAAGTTTTTAATTAGTACCTTTGTTATCTTTGAAGAACAATTTACTCTGGAGAGATAGCACGTTTTATTTAATCATTGAGATGACCTTTACTTCATATTTAGTATAATTCATTATTTTTCTTAAAACATTTGCACCCTGGTGGCTCAGCAGTAATTCACAAGACTTATAATACTAAAATTCGGGTTTTGATACCCGCGGTGGACAAAACACATATAACCCATTGTGTACCTTTGTTCTTAATTTCAAACAAACCAGTACAATTCTTAGAATTATTTATCGATTATTATCTTTTTTATATATATTTTAACCTGTTTTAGCTCACTATATTTATTATCTATTCTCATACTCTCATCAAGTAGAACAAGTAAACAGCTTGGTTGATTATCCTATTCTATCGTGACAGGTAAGGAATCCATTGCAACTTGTTGGACGTATTATACTCGAAGGAGAAGCTTGACGCATAATTTATACCTCGATTTGTGATCCTTTTCGTGATCAAAGAGTTGAAAGTCAAAATCATAAAGCTATTACGCTAGTATGTCATCTGTTAAAGCAACAATAAAGTATTACTGCGTATTAACATGGACATAGTCAGTGGACATTGCAAGCGTTATTACACACTAATATGGACATAGTCAGTGGACATTGCAAGCGTTATTACACACTAATATGGACATAGTCAGTGGACTAATATGGACGTAGTACAAGCGTTATTACACACTAATATGGACATAGTCAGAGGACGTTACCAGCATTACTATACACTAATATGGACGTAATCAGAGGACGTTACGAGCATTACTATACACTAATATGGACATAATCAGAGGACGTTACGAGCATTAATATACACTAATATGGACATAGTCAGTGGGCGTTACAAGCGCTATTACACACTAATATGGACATAGTCAGAGGACGTTACCAGCATTACTATACACTAATATGGACGTAATCAGTGGACGTTACGAGCATTAATATACACTAATATGGACATAGTCAGTGGGCGTTACAAGCGCTATTACACGCTTGTAACGTCCTCTGATTATGTCCATATTAGTGTATATTAATGCTCGTAACGTCCTCTGACTATGTCCATATTAGTGTTATTACACAGTAACTTACACTAATGTGTTTTTTTATGTTTACCCAAAAACTTACACTGATGGTTTTTATGTTTACCCAAAAACGTACACTGATGTTTTTTTATGTTTACCAAAAAAAAACTTACACTCACGTTTTTTTTAACATTTACACAAAACTTACACTGATGTTTTTTATGCTTACCTAAAAACTTAAACCGATGTTTTTTATATATTCCAAAAACAATTACACTGATGGTTTTTTTATGTTTACCAAAAACATTACACTGATGTTTTTTATATTTACCAAAAAACAACAACAACAGCATACTATTCCAACGTAAATATCACATTTTCTTTATCAAGAAAATTTCAAAGATGGTTAACTTCTGTCTTCTCGTTCTAACAGAAGATTTAAGTAACAATGGGTTCATGTTTTCTTCCAGAAGTGCAACTCACAGTGAATCCGA